AGTGACTGAAATTGCACTACCTTACCAGTTTGTTATCAGATTGATTTGAAGTCTTTCATTAGTGTTTAAAACTTTACATGGCGTAGCCCCAGCTTTTTTTCAAGACCTTCTTCACGACTATTCCACCTCTAGAGCACTTAAGTCAAATAATAAATTACTCTACATATTCCTGGGACCGACTGAGTGACGGCGAATAGGAGCAGCATTTGCTGTCACTGCTCCTCGTCTTTGGAGCTTTAGATCTGTCCGTATTCTGGAACACTTCATATCGCTCATTAAAACTCATTTTTATTCTTTGACTTTTTATAAGGCCTGACATTGTAATTCACTTGTCTGTTTTAATTTGTGTTTTATTCTTATGTGTTTTTGTCTGTGCTTCATGAAAACTGTATAGACCTTTGGTGCAATTAATATCTGTTTTTAAAGTGCTTCATGAATAAAATTTACATTGACATGATTAGATTTTTGTTTTATTTTACTTAGGAAAGGTGTCCAGTTCAGGCGAATGGGGTCCTGGAGCAGTCACTGTCTTCTGTCCTAAGCCTACAGACATTGCTTTCTGACCAAGCACTGACATCTTTGTCAGCTCAGTCACCACTGGCCCCAACATCTCCTCAAGTGCTGTCGACAATGCCCGATTCCTCAGAAACATCAACTTGGTTCTCCTCCAGGGTGCCTGTGTCCCAGCCCTCCACTCAAGTACAGCCAGTTTTGCCGTCTTCTGAAGTTTCTTTGGTTGCAGCCTCAGGGCAGCCCCTCTCCCCCCACTCTAACCTAACTCCACATGTGATGACCATTGAGGACCAGGCACCAGCTTCTCCATTTACTGAGCAACCTATAATTATACTGGAAGACCAAGAAGAGCCACCTGAGTCTCCACAACATCCACCAGAGTTGCCTTTGGATGAGTGAGTCAAAACTGCATATTCTGGCTGTCTGATGTCATTAGCTTTGACAGTTTCAAACCATTGTTTACTCCAACAATGTACAATAAAATAGATTTTCTTTTTGGAGGACAGATCTTCAGACCATATTATACAGCAAGGTTGCTATGACTTTCTGTCCTACAAGCAACCAAATAAATGTGTGCAGAGAGGATTTTAGGATGTAGCCTGCAAGCCTTCAGAAGACGCCGTTTTGATCCAGCATCAAAACTGGATGTTATTTTTGTGGATGAGGAGGGCAGCGCTGAAGGGCAGTTGATGAAGGTGGTCCCACATGAGAATATCTCAGACTGTTAATGAGGGCAATTCATCAGTCTAATGTCTTTGAGGGGCACGAGAATGACCGCCATCTAGCTTTGGACACTAGTGGTCAGTATTATTATTTATTTATTGTTCCCAATTCTTAAGGATGGAAAACTGTCAAGTAACATTTTTTTCTTTAGCGTTGGAGTCAAAAATGTACAACTGTATTGGAAAAATGATATCAGTCTGTTTGGTGCATGGAGGCATTGGACCACATTTCTTCTCTCAAAGGCTGTTTGACCACATTTGTGGCACATTGTCTCAACCTACCCTGGTTGAGGAAGTTGTTAACCATTCATTCAGAGAGCAGCTGATCAAAGTTAGTCACAATTTTAAGCATTTTGAATATTGATCATAAGCTTAAATTCAGTTTCACATCATTTTTTTTCTTTTTAGATTCAGGATGCAAACACAGTCGTGGAGGCAAACGAAGCCATTATGCAGGCAGCAGATACCCTGAGCATTGTTGGAGCATTAAGGCGTGTAACTACTCTGAAAGAGAGGGATTCCCTTGTGCAATCTGCTGCAGACATCTTTGTAAATGGCTGAATGTGCACCTCATTGCAACAGTAAGCAAGACCCTAATTTTTTCTATTAGAAATCTTGCTGTATTCTAAAAGTATGACCATATTCTAATTTCTTAAAGGTTTTTGGAAGGTTTGAAGACTCTTAATGTAGTAGACGAGATTCAGAAAAACCTTGCAGTCTTTCATGAATTGTCTGTGAGGAGAAACCACTCTCGGTACGGGACCTGCACACTTTTCCAAGTGTTTTTCTGTGCAAGGNCCCTATGGCCTGCTTTAATCTCCTGTAATTTGTTGAACTTTGTGTTTTTCTTGTGTGTTTTAGTTTCTTACATTCAAAGTTTCTAATGTTCTCACTTGTAGTTTCCTGTCTCGTTCTGGTCAGTCTGACTCTTTCTGTTCTGTGATCCATGGACTTGAATTAGTGTGTGAACTCCTTTAACACATATTCCCTGTGACTCTGGAGTCTGGTGTTAAACCTGATGAGTAATGTTTCAGCAATGTGCTTCCCAGAAAGTCTCTATTATGTGGGTGCATTTCAGCCTTTGTAGGAGGGTCGGACCACCTACAGGCATACAAAGACTCTACTGTACACCCAATAATGAAGTTAGCCAAAAAAAGGCACTTTGTCTTTTTCTGAAACTATTTAAAATGTTCGCCTGATGAAAGTGAGTTTGTGCATAGCCAAAAAAAAAAAAAAAAGTCCAGTTCAGAGGAGCATGGGAGGGAAAACAGCAGTCTAAGTCTGTCCACAAGGGAAAGAGATAGTTCTCTGAGGTCAAACCACTTGATTTAGAGCATTTTGGCAAACGAAAACAGAGCTGTCATTTGCAATTGGCTGTCAAACTTGTTTTTCTGTGAGTTCCTCCAATTGGCTGCAGGCGTTAGTGAGTACATTTATCACACGTCCTTTCAGCAGTTTGCCTTGAAGCTCTGCAAGCACTTCTGCAGTTAATCAGAGCGATTCTGTTTCAGTTTACAATGAGAGTCCAGATTTTCAGAAGCTTGCACAAACAGGAGCTTGTCTGTTGTAGTGCAGCAAGAATGTACAGTTTGGACCAAACTGTATGATATATTGCCATCTAATTAATCTTTTTGTTTCAAGGGCTATGCATTTTTCAAGATTCATATCTTTAAGTACACTGAGTGCACAGTCCTTAAGAGCCAGGAGAGGAAAATAAATATAACATCTTTAGTCATATTTCTAAAAGGTTTGAAAAAAAAAATGTGTTTCCGTTGTCCTACCCTGAACCCTCAGAGGCCCTGGAGTTGTTTTGAGTGTTGTCATTTAAATTGGTATCTCACTCCTCCTCCTGCAGAAATGTTGCTGCTCTGCACACAAAGCTAATAAAACTAATGGTTCTCTGGAAAACCCATTGACTTATTAAGTTTCAGTTGCTCAGCAGTGACAACATGTTTATGTAAGGAATTAAAACATTTATGAAGATTTGTTAAACTGAGGAGAGAAAACTGAATTCCTGAAGACACTCTAACAGACTGTAAATGGTTCAAAAGCCTTAAGATATCACTGTGATAGGAAGATTTACATCTTTATGTCTTTATAGATGCTGTGGTTTAAAATCTAAGGAGAAATCTGAGCTGTAGACTTTAAATGGGGACCACAGAGAGCTTGGCTTAAATTTCCTGCAGCAAAACAGTGTAAAGTTTTTCCCTGAAAATGTAAGGATCTACCAACTGGACTGTACTGATTTCTGCACATCTTCACAAATGTTGATGCTCCTAAAAAAAAGCAAGCTACGGCACACACCCTCTGCAATGCATGTTAGGGTTTTTTCATTCTCCTCCACTCAGACTGATGTGTACCTGACACTTCATTCACAGCAAAAATGTTTTTTTTTTTTTTTTTTACAGTTTTTGTTTGGACTCCAATAATAATTTATCAGAAATATAAGACTAATCAGTCCTAAGGTGAAAGCAAACCTGCATTTTAATGGTCTGTGGAGAAAATCCATCTGGATGAAGTCTAATGAGTTCCACCATTTTTCATCGTTAGTCTTTTGAAATATAAAATTACGTATCAGTTTTTCCACGTAGTTTGTTATAGTTTATACCTACTCCGTGAGTACAAGTTGACAATCCTGCAAATAAAGAAATAAAAATTATGAATAAACAAGGCACCTTAAGTTTGTAAAAGCTTCTATAAGTTTTTTTTTTTTTTAATTCATTAACTACGCTTGGAAAACAAATCCTGGCTGTTAAAGCATTTCTCCATTTGCCATTTAGCGGTTAAAATCCACTTTTCTGAACTTCTAAACTAAATATGACATACCCTGAGAGTCAAAGTGGTCCTCATAAAACTAGGAACGCAACAACACACACATTTTCTGCCTTCAGCTCAGTTCTGAAGGGCGTGGCAACGGGGACATAAAAACTTTTGAGGACATTGGAGACTCAGAGGTGTGGTCCTCCACCCCCTAAAACGCACCTCCACAGCGCGCCGCTCGCAGTGTGCAGCAGAGGGACCGGAGGAGGACAGGTGGAGAAGGCACTGCTCTGCTGTGTGCTGTGTCCGGCTCCCTGGCCGCCGTTTCCAGATCACAATGAGCCAATACGGGTCAAACCAGGCGCTCTACAAGGGCCGGAGGGCCAGCTCGAGGAGCAACCTCGCCGGCGGGATGGTCTACCAATACGCGCGGAGCGATGTGGCGCAAGGAGGCGGTAATGGAGTCGAGCCCGTACCGGAAGGATTCAATAGATCGGCGACGCTTTCGAGGGCGACGATGTCGAAGGGCAGCAGGATGACGAGCAACACCATGGGGAGCGCCACGATGGGTGGAATGAGGTGCCAACATTTGCTTTATTTATTTATTGTGTCCTGGTTGCCCCTGTTGCGCACTTAACTTCTCTCATTACTCAGTGTGAAAAGGTAGTAGGCATTAACTATTAAAGGTCTTATTGTCTACCCACTCCAAACCCTGGGCCGAACAAAACTAAAAATGTGTCGGTAATAATTACTGACAAATCTGGATTCATTTTTTTTTTTTTTATAATTCAATGTAATTTTTATTTTTTTATTTTTTTTGATGACTTGGTTCTAATGTGAGCAATTCTTATACTGGTTCTGTAAGAGCACAGGTCCAAGTATTTTAAATGTGAGCAAAACGTAACAAAAAGTTCTCATAATCATTTCATTTTATATCTGCGTAATTAATCCCTCACCCTGATAATGAAACAAACCTGCTGCCATAAACACTTCATCCCTCTCAAACGTGATCTACTGTCACTTCTATCTAAGTTTTCTTCTTTGCATAACAGCTCCCTTTTGCCTCCAGGGACACTTGATTTATGGTCTGCACTGAACTTTTAAGCTCACTCAATTGCAACATCTTCAACATGCTTCATTCCAGACACGTTCAGTTTCACAGCCTCAAAAAACTCTCACAGAGTAAATCTGCCACTGCTCTGCTTTACAAAAAGACAGGTTGTGACTTTTAATGGAAGACAGCTTTATATAAGAAATGAATTGAGGTTTTTTTGCTAGTTTGCAATTTTCAAACTAGCTAGCGAATAAACAGCATTTCACTGTAGGTCAGGCAGTTGAAATGTGTATAATTCACATTGTTTTGTGAGAGATATAAATATGCAAATCTCCTTTGCATATAAAATTATGAAACGTAACTGATGTGACAGCAGACTATGTAATAAACAGTGTATCTGTAGCTTAAGTCATCTGCTTAAGGGACCATCTTCATGAGATTTTTCTTGGAAATGTTGATTTATTTGAACATTTATTTAATTTTAATAACTTTTCTACCAGTATTTACTGACATCCAGCAACTGTTTGGTTGCTGGATGATTTTTTTTAGAGTTCTTCAGAAGCTGTTTGTGTAAAACTGAGGACTTTTCAATGGGTTTTGGAAAAAAAAAAGAAACTTAGTTGCAGTATATGATGTCATGTTTGTTCAAACCTTTTATCTGTCCCGAATGGTTTGCATGAAAAATGCAAATGCATTTATTAATGTTCGTGACCTGAATGTGCCGGTTGGTCTTTAGTCTTATGATGGTTGAAGTTTTATTTTATATCAATATCGTGCTGTGAAATAGTGGGGTTGATCAGTGGTTCTTCTTGTTGTTTAGAGACATTTAATGCAACCTGTCATTCACCTGATACTGCTCCTTAAAAATAATAAAATAAAAAATAGGCCAATGTTTATTTGGCAGATAAACATTTGTTGATGCTGGATCTTTCTGATCTTGATTCAGGTCTTTGTTGATTTTTTATTTTTATTTTCAAGACATCTCTGCTGCTGTAGCTAAAAGCACTTAAAGGAAAGTTTATGTGACTCCAATTAACCATATCTACCAGCAAGATGCTCCTTAGACTTAACAGGTTTAAATAGGACTTATGTAAAACCTGTATAACATTTAAATTAAATTATATTTGCAATTTGTTAAATGTTCAAAATACTCCCATACCAAAGGAAATACTGATGTGACATGTGCATGAAAAAATGGGGTTATAGACTGAAGAAAAATTGACCCAAAACTGCCTTAAAAGATATTGGTTAAAATTAAATACATTAACAAACAGATAAAAAATTATCTGAAAATTATCAGGACCTGAAAACAAGTGAAAAAGCTTCTATGGTTTAAAGAAAACCCAGAGAAATGTCAATCAAAACTACTACAAAATGTTGCCAGAAAGTGTGACTTTCATTAAAAATTGAAAGTCGAAATAAACAGAAGCTGTGAAATACACTTGGCAAACAAGATGGCTGAAACCCAATTATTACGTTGGTGGAAAAAAGACTTCCAATAAAAATCCAGACTTTTCCAAAAATGTAAATCTTCAACAATCAAAAATTGGATTAATAGATAAAGTCGATTAATCGACTTTCACAAGTTGACCAAGAAGCAATTTGTGACCAAATGATAAATAAATCATACATACAAGGAATACACCTAAGGCTGAAATCATTGATGACCCTGGAAAATTTACATTTTAAAATATCGTCATTCAAATTGAATTAATATTGTAAAATAAATAAATAAATAAAAAATAAATAAAGCATAAAATTGAAAAAAAATGCTTACATTAATCTTTTATTTAAAAAGAGAATATTATATAGTAATTATTCCCACCTCATAAAATAGTAAAGAGTGGCTAAATGCAGTTTCAGAGGGCCATAGCCAACGTCTAACTGATCAATAACAAAAACAAGTTGAGATTATATAGATAAAATTGATAAAATAAAACTTAAAACTTAACAGTTTAAGTATTTCATGCTAATAAAAGTTTTTAAACGTGTCAGGGGATTATAAGTTGACCAGTTCTATCAGAGGATGTTTAAGTCTTGTTGCCGGAATCTGCTTGTAATGCATCTGAAGCATATTACATAGATGATCCTTATGAATTTCCTCTGCAGTGGCTACATGCCCAACCCCACGAGAGCCGCACAGCTGCAGTCTCTCTGCAAGGAGTACCTGACGAAGGCCGAATACGCCATTCAGGCCGTGAGTGGTGATTTTTCTGCTCTTCTTCTTTTCCTCCTTTGGTAGGGCCAAAAAAAATGTTATATATATAGTTTCAGATCTTTTTGAGAGATCTGAAACTACAATAATTGTTGTAGCATGTCTTCTGTTGGCTTTAAAAAATGACAGAAATGTTTTGTGGTGTAAAGTGGAGTCGATGGATGCTCAAACTATGCAGGGAATGAAAGTGCTGTTCTTTGCTCTCTGCTGGATCTGCCTAACAAGCTGATTCGTGGTGTCTGATGAGAGTTATGGGGATAAACAATTTTGTGTCTAAATTGTCAAATTGGTTGCTTACTAAAGCTTGACTCCATGAAATATTTTTGGCTTTGTTTCAATAAAAAAAAAAAAAAAAAAAAAAAAAAATTTTTTTCTTGTTAACCCCACTTTTGGGACTTGGGGCTTTGGGG